CACTCCCTGGGTTGTTACCACCTGAGCCAAGCCAGCACCGATCTCTCCTGAATTATTGAAATAGCATCCTAACTGATCTCCCTGCTTCCCCTGGGTGCCCCAGTCATCTGTTCTCAGCGCAGCATCCAAAGTGGTTCTTTAATCTTAGTCAGACCTAGTCACTCCTCTGGTAAAAGCATTTCAATGGCTTCTGTCTAAAAACTGAAATTCTTCCAAGGGCAGACAAAGCCCTCAGTGAAGTGATTGGCCCACTCACCTGTCCTCATCTCTGGCTCTTCTCCTGGTAGCTCACTGTGGTCCAGCCGCCCCAGCCCTCTGATGTTCTGAGAGTGGGCCAGCCATTCCCCCGCTATGTATACTTGCCACCTCCTTCTCAATGAGGCCTTCCCAATGGCCCCACTTAAAATTACAAACCTTACCCCATGTGGGTCCCCTGTCCCTTTCCCTGCTTTATTTTTAACCTGCTTATATGCTATAGAATCAATATATTTATCTTGCTTATTATCTGACTCCCTCATGAGGACAGAGATTGTCTGTCTTGGTCATTGCTGGTCACATCTAGTACCTAGTGGACCCTAGAATGCAGTGAGGGGCGGCTGAGGCCAAGCACCAGCAGATTTTTCCCATATAGGATGTAGGCTGTTCTTGCCTGAGCTGTAGATTTTTCAAAAGAAGACAGAAATTCAATTATTTTTGTGATATCGCAGTTTTTTTTTAAATGTGGCAACCAGTTCAAAAATTTTAAATAACTACATATTTTAAAAATCCATCCATGGGCTGAATTTGACCTCCAGGCCCCACTCTGCATTCCCTAGCTTAGACTGAACTGGATTTGCTACCTTAACTAAAGATTTGCAAGCTTACTAAAAGCAGTAGCTGTACATTTATTGATGAGTTTTTCTTCCTTGTCCTTCAATCCCAATCCAGAAAATGTGTCTCAGAGTCAAACCACAGGGACCCAGGGTATAGCTCAGTGGTAAAGTGCGTGCTTAGCATGCAAGAGGTCCTGGGTTCAATCCCCATTACCTCCAGTAAAAAATAAACCTGATTACTGCTCCCCCACCAAAAAAATAAATTAATTAAATAAAAATAAAATAGTTGGACAAAAAAAAAACAAACAAATGAAACCGCATCAGAGGAGGAATGAGAGGTGGTTCTGGAGAAGGACTGTGCAGGGGGGGCCTCCCACCCCTGAGGAGTCCAATGAGGGGCCTGTGTGGTTGCACCTGGTGGGATCCAGGCTGTTATTCACGTGTCCCTCAATGCTTGTTGCTTGTCTTCCAGACATTTGTCACCTCCTGCCACAGTGCTAGCTCCCAGGCCAGCCCCCCAGGGCGAGACTAGCAGGAAATTAGGAACGAAAATGAGCTGTTAGACCAGGACCCTGTGAGGTGCACCTCCTCCTCCGCCAGCCGAGCCCCTGCAGTCTGATTATGCTCTGTGCTGGTGAGGATGAGGGGAAGGAGGCGCCCTCTTACCTTGCTGGCAGAAGCCTGAATGTATCCACTTCTAGGCATGTCGTTTGGGAATAGCTATCAAATTTCCAAATGCACGTATTCTTTGACCAAGGAATTATATTTTAATGAATTTATTCTATAGAGACACTCATGTGTGTTGAAATGAATTAAGATGAGGATTTTTTCACTGTAACATTGTTTATAATAACAAAAGCTTGAGAAAAGCCTAAATGTTCTACAGTAGGTGACATAAATTATGCTAGATCCATGCAATGAAGCATGAATGAAATGCACAGACTTAAAAAATAATAAACAAAATCTGTGTGTGCCCTCCCACATTAATTGATTTGGTTATTTAAAAAGCAGTCAGGCTGGCGACATGGTGTGTGCTATGCTATCATTAGGTTTTTTGTTTGTTTGTTTTTTATTGAATGTTACAATGTGTCAATTTCTGGTTTACAGCACAATGTCCAGTCATTATACTATCATTTGTGACATAAAAGAGGAAGTTGTACATGCGTGGCTACTTTTTCTTTTGTTTTTTTCTTCTCACTATTTTATTTTATTTTATTTTATTTTTAATTGACTATACTCAGTTTACAATGTTGCATCAATTTCTGGTGTACAGCATTATGTTTCAGTCATACTTATAAATACATGTATTCATTTTCAGATTCTTTTTCATTATAGATTACTATAAGATACTGAATACAGTTCCCTGTGCTACACAGAAGAAACTTGTTGTGGCTATTTTTTCTTATGTGCGTAAAATATCTCTGGCATAACAGAGAGTAACCCAGTAACGTGGTTACCCCTGTAGAAGGGAAATGGTGATGAAAGTACAAGGAGGAATAACTTGTCAATGAATTGACTTTAATATGTTTTTATTTTTGAACCATGTAAATATTTACTAAATTAAAAAGAGAAAGGAATGCCATATTATGTGCTTAGAAATTTCTCTGAAAATACACCCATGGTAGTGTTGTTTACAATATTAAAAAACGAAAAAAAGTGGGAGCAATTCACATGTCAAATAATAGGATACTGGTTAAATAAAGATTTAGGCGAATTTAAGATTTTTCTGATTTTAAAAATTTCTGATACAATTTTCGTTTGCCTTCTTCTCTCCTGATTAAAGATACTGCCTATAGCTTCATGATGGAATGCCTCCATCCTTCAGATCTTTTTAGTTTTCCCTTTTCAGACCTTCAAGGCTTTTTGTTTTCTTTTTGTTTTGATGAAGTGATAGCACTTCCATTTTAGTGAAGGAAGTGATGATAACTTTAACAATAATATTGATTTAAGACCAAGAAAAGGACTAAAGTAATCAGTGAGCTTGAATGTGGGGGCTAGATATATACGTAACCCTTAATTGATTAAAACATTAATATTGTATGATTTTATTCAGGCCTTAATAGACAATCAGCCATGAAGAGAAATCTGCTCTTTTTTCCGGTGAATTTGAAGTAGCTTTCTCTGCCTCTCTGATTCTGTAATTCTGAAGTAGCTTTTTAGTGGAACACTGTGCAGTCTCTTTATTTCCTTAAACACATTCTAGAAAGTGACTTTATTGTGTGGTAACCTTATTAGCCAAGATCTAACAAGTTTTAGCATTATTTGAAACATTAACTTGGACGGAACCCTTTTCTGTGCGTTAGTTTTCCTTCCCAGTAAAATAAGATTTTTGCACGAGATACATCTTATGTCATAATTGTATCGTTTACTCATTCTTTTGTGGAGAGTTTGCCCTTCCTCCGATGTACCCTGGAGCTGTGATTTAAAACATAAAATCAGCAGGCTAGTGCTCATCTGTGGTGGAGCTTTTACCTTTCCATGGCTAAATAAGAAAAAAATAAGTATAATGTGGTAGATTATTATAAATGTATTCAATTTAAAGAATTCATCCTAGTTCTGAAATTATGATCTTCAAATTGCTAAGATGGATGTCAAGATAATATTCTTTTATGAAGTGGTAGGTGATCATTATCTTTAATTTCATTTTATTGATCTGTAAATTTATTCCTCCAGCAGATGAGGAAGGAAAGATAAATCCAGATGATCGTGTAAGTTTTGAAATTATTCAAGACTGAAATCTCCATGATGCCTGTATCATACAGTGCCCAGTTATTGAGTTTCAAATACTAGGATCCCAATGGAGTGTTGTCTTGGTTTGCCATAACAAAATACCATAACTGGGTGGCTAAGACCACAGAAATTTATTTTCTCATAGCTCTGGAGGCTAGAAGTCTGAGACCAGGGAGACAGTATGGTTAGGTTCCGGTGAGAACCCTCTCCCTGACATGCAGACTGCTGCCTTCTCACTGTCTCCTCATATGGCAGAGAGAGAAAGCTGGTGTCTCTTCAAATAAAGACAAGAATCTCATCTCGAGAGTTTCACCCTCAGGACCTCTTCTAACCCTAATTACCTCCCAAAGACCCCCATCTCCAAAAACCATCACATTGGGGGTTAGGGCTTCAACATAATGAATTTTGGAAAGACACATTCAGTCCATAACAAGTGTTGTTATGGGGTCAGGATGATGATCCTTCCTTGGTTAAACTACCTCTAAATTTGGAAAACGATGCCAAAACAAAGCAAGTAACACGGTTACTAACTACAGCTTTGAAGCCTCAAACTCAGGGCAAAATTCTGGTAAACTAAGCATTTAGCAAAGGAGAACTTACTTAAGATGGCTGGCTTGAATGATCTACAACAGAGGTTGACAATGCCTGAGTCAAGAATGGCTTTTAATTTTCAAATGGTTGAAAAAAATCAAAAGAATAAGGCTCTGTGATATCTGAAATGTATATGAAATTCGAATTTTAGTGTCCCTAAATAAAGTTTTATTGGAACCCTGCCGTGCTCATTTGTTTATATGTTGTCCATGGCTGCTTTTATGCTACAACAGCAGAGTTGAGTAGTTGCAACAGAGCCTAAAATATTTGCTCTCTGACCCTTTAGAGAAAAACAGTTGCCAATCCCGGCAGGCAAAGCTGGCCAATAACTTGCTTTGCCTATTCCCAAGTCTAAATCTTAGATGAAAATATGATTTCCAAAAGATGCAGAACCTTACCCATCATCACTAGAAGAAATGGATCCAGGGACAGAGTATCTACCATAAAGCCTGGCATGAGGTCGTCTAGAGATTGCCCACTTCAAGCTGTCTAATGCTGCCCTAGCTGTTCCAAGGAAAAACTAAGAGTGAAAGACAGATGGCCTTATTGGAAGGTGGAAGAAGAAGAAAGCCAGAAAAATTTGCTGATGTCTTCGTTCCTTGGGAGGTCCAACCCCAGCCAAACAGAATCCAGGATCCTGGAATTGGACCAGTCTGGATCAAGACTGGTCTTCCTTTGAGTTTCTACCCTTTATTGACACTTATCCCTCAAGCCCAAGGAGAAGGTAGGAATGGGAGCTAAGAATGGTACCCTTTCTAGAATTAACATTAACCAATGAAATTGGTGGTGGCGTTGATCTATCAGGCCACTTCCTTTATTTCTGACTTACTGTTTTGTGTTCTCCCTCCTTGCCCAATACACACAAAGGTGATTTTAAAGGATGTGGACTCCCTTCTCTACGTGGACACCGACGTTCTCTTTCTGAGACCTGTCGATGACATCTGGAAGCTTCTGAGGCAGTTTAATTCCACGCAACTTGCAGCCATGGCTCCCGAGCATGAAATCCCCAAGATAGGCTGGTACAGCCGCTTCGCTCGGCACCCTTTCTATGGCTCCGCAGGAGTGAATTCAGGAGTCATGCTAATGAACTTAACTCGGATAAGAAGCACCCAGTTCAAGGTAAGGAAGTATTTTGAATATCCTTGTTTAAACATCAGAACTTTGTCTTCTCAACAGTGACTTTCCTGGAGTGTTAGTGTAATATTTTGTAAGCAGGTGGCTTGTCGATGAGGATGGAAGAAGCCATTAAAGAGGAATGTATTTGGAAAGTGATGGAATATTTGTTGGTTAAGGAAAACCCCAGTAGATTATGGAATTCAAACATATTCAGCCGAGTTACTATTCAGGAATATTATGCTGCACTTCTGAATTACATATTTGAACCCTATGTGTATCCCAAGCTTCAAAAACCATGGAAAACTTGAAATTACCCTACGGATATATTTACATAAGTATACAGAGAAAAATGTACAAGGCTGTTCATGGCCTCATCTTTTATCCCAGCGAAGACCTGGGAGAACCTGAGTGAACGTCAGTAGAGAACAAGTCAAAAAAAAAATTATCCTCCAATTAAAAAGAATTAGGTAAATCTATAAGTGAGATAAACAAGATCTCTACAAAAATATAAGATGGAAAAAATTAAAATGCTGTGAAGGCTGATACTACAGAGTGTGATCCCTTTTATGCCTTAGAAATTCCCAGAAGAATGCCTAAGAGCCTGGTAACTAATAGTGGATACATCTAGGGAAAGTAGAAATAGGAATTGAGGGAGGCGGGAGGAAAAATACTTTTACATTTTTTTTTCCCACATCTTTGTATGCTGTTTGACTATTTAGTCTGAATATGTTGCTTTTATCTTAAATAATTACTGTAAGATAAGGAAAGGGTATTTTTCCTTAAGATACCGTAATTCTGCTATCTGTATTTTGTTCCTTCACTTCCGAGGCAAGAGTTAAGCATACCAAAGGGAAGTTCAAATTGAGGCGTGGTTTTCTGGGTAGAAACCACAGTCCCAACTACCAGTTCCTGGTCTATTGTATCCATGTGTACACCTGTCATCTATAGCTCTAGTTTTGCTTTGTCCTATGCCTTGAGGCCAGCAGGACTCCTCCTCTATTTATTTCATTTTCATTCTGGGGGCAGGGGTGCAGGGGAGAACCAGTCCATCTACACTGATTCTCAGTGGACAGCGGATGTGTTTCCTGTGCCTCAGCTGCTCTCATGTTTTTTCTCTTTTCCAGAACAGCATGATTCCAACAGGCTTGGCTTGGGAGGACATGCTGTACCCTCTGTACCAGAAGTACAAGAATGCCATCACGTGGGGAGACCAGGACTTACTAAATATTATTTTTTATTTCAACCCAGGTAGGTTCTCTTTCGAAAATGCCATTTGTGTAGGAATCCACCCACATCGCCCAACAGAGCGCATTCCAGCCTGGTTGGCCACTGATGAAGCTTGAATTGCGCCTGTGTCCCCTGCAAAGTGTGCCCTTTCATCCACCCCCAGTGTTTCATGGAGGCGGTCCTCGTGCTGCTGACACAAAAGGCCAAATGTTGAAACCTCCAACACTGGACTCCATTTTTCAAGAATATCTTTGAGATTTTGTCACACCATTCTTCTAAGAAGTACTGGCAGGATCAATGGGTGGCACAGAACTAAAGGAAAACATTATAATCTAGGCACGAGGCCCTGCATAGCCTGAACAATTGCTAGACTGAAGGGAATTGGTTCTTGGGATCCTTATAGTTAAGTGAGTTGTTGGGGGTTGAAAGGGTATAGAATAAGGATTCAGATTCCACATTCCTCTTTCTTTTCATCCGAGGCAAAAGTCTTCTTACGTTGTTAAGTCAGTGATATGATGGAGTTGGGGGAGGAAGGGAGATGGAAATTTCTGGTCTGTTTTTATATTGACACCTAAAGCTAAACATTTTCCTTCTTTTCTTTCATCCTTGCTAAAACCTTGTTTAATGTTGTTAAAATCAAAACCATGTTTTCTCTTTAAGAAAGATCTTTGGACAAAAAAAAAAGCACTCCTTACTCCAACTACTCAGGCCTCTCCTTTGTCTTTAAATATCCTGAAATAGACTCCTGTTTATAAAGACTTATGCCTGTGGTATCCTGTCACCCTAGAAGCACCTACTATATACCTTTATTTGCTTGTTAACAAAATTCTGAAATGAAACTTAATCCCATATGCCTTTGGATTAAAAAGGAGCAATCCTGGGGAGAAAAAAAAAAGCAGATTGAGATGGAGTTTGTTGCTGGGAAAGATTCCCCAATACTCATTCATTAGATGAAGAGGATGCCTTGGCTGTTTGCTCGTGGCATGTTTTAATCCATTTCAGTCTGATCGCAACGGGGATTTTAAAGTCTGCCCCTCGTGCTTTTTCTTCTTAATCACACTGCATCTTTTTTTCTAGGTGTAGTTGTTATTCATTAGGACTCTTGGTTGCAAATAAAAGATCCCTGGAGTTAGCCTAACTACAAAGGATACTTTTTTGATAAGCAAACAGGTGTCACATAGAAACCGAGGGCAGGAAGGCCAGCAGGCCAGGACCCGATGCAGGAAAGGGGAAAGGATGAGGACCCCAGGTTGGACTTCCCTTTTCCCACTGAGGCTGTTTGTTCCTCTCTCAGAAGATTCTCATTCTCTGCTCAAAGCAAAGTACCAAGGTTTCATCCTCCAGGTCCAGCCGCACAGAAGGAGAAGTCAGATGTTGCGAGCATGGGTCTGCTAGGCCAGGAGCGTGGAGCTAGGGAGTAATGCCTGACGTTGATTATTTACTAAGGGCCAAATGCTGTTCTGAGTGTTCTCTTGTTTAATCCTCACAACAACCCTAAGAATAAAGTCCCCATTTTATAGACAGAGGTACTAAGGGAAAGAGAGTTAGACAATTTGCGGCAGAGCTAATAAGTGCCAGAGCAGGTGTCTAAATCCAGACCATGCCCACTCCAGCCTGCACATTCTGGGGAGAGGGGAAATTTCAGAGGGAGAATCCTCGAGAGCTGGGCAGGTGTCCCAGAATGTGTCTCTCTCTCCTGCATTATTTCTGACCTTTAAATATTACATTTTTTTCTCTCTGTTGTGTGGCTCAAACTATCTTCCATCAGTCTATTGTCCATATTCCCAGACTGAGGAATTCAAAAGGTTTGCCCAGTGGCCTCCCCAGAAATCCTCTCAGCCTGTTGCAGATTGTCTGAGGACGTGATCAGTGAGTAAATAACACTTCAAGGCAGTCACAAGCAGCTCTGCAATTAGACGCGAGCCCCTGGTCTCTAATTAGGGCTGAAAACCACCTGAGTTCAGTGGCTTCCCACTGCCCCTCTCAGATCCCTTGAGCACAAGGATATTAGAAAATAATGATGAAGTTGTTCTGACTGCTGAATCTGAGCAGCAGCGAGTAAATACCCGAGTTTCCTAACTTGAGGTCAGTATTAGGTAACTCCTCGGTTGTTCTTTGTATGCCCTTCCTTTGATCTTGCATACTTCATCCAGGTACTTTATCAAACATGAGAGCTTTGACCTGCAATCTAGTGATAATCATTGCATTGAAAGGTTTTCTTTGTTTATATTGATTATGAGCGCTTTCTATACACCAGAACAAACTATATTTGAAAAAAAAGTTGTCACCTTTATCCTTGGAAAGGAGAGAAGGAGAGATTGGCCCCAGCCCAGGAGGTAAACATGCTTATTTGTTATGATTCTGTGTGTTGCCATGGGTGAAGCAGTGCACACAAACCTGGGCACATACCTACGCTGTTTTCATTTTTATAGCCTTCCCTAGCCAATAACAGGGCTTTTAAAATGTGTTTAAAAGTCATTAGCTAAAAAATGTTGTAGAACTCTTGCTATAATTAGATCGTAAATGCTTGCAGGTATGTAATTGCTGTGCTGGGTAATAGACTGACTCAGGAAAAGGCAGCTGAGGCCCAGCGTGGCCCTGCAGGTAGCTCATCCCATGGAACATTTCCTTGCAGGTGAGCCAAGGTAGCTTCTTCAAGAGATGGAAGACTGAACTCATCTTTACAGGTGAATCTGAGTCAAGAACAGAGTGCTGTAGAAAGGGTAAATTTGACAAGGGTGAAAAGAGAACCCTAGGCAGAAAAATGTGCTTGGATGAACGCACTTAGGTTGCAGGGAGTAAAACTCCACTCAGACCAGTTACATCAGTGGCCAGGTACCAGTTGCATGAACACGTGGATCAGATCACGCCAGGCCTCATGAGAAGTAGCTCTGAGCAGATGCTAAGGGCCAAAGCTGAACTTTTTCCTCCCTCAGAGGCCTCATGGTGTCTGTCGCATTTTTTCTCTCCACGCCCATTCGATTCCATACCATCTCTCAGATGATATTCTCTGCTTGCATGTGGCCCAACCTCAAGTCAACACAACCTCACAAGCCCGTACCAATGATGATGGGTTTTCTATATTTCCTAATTCAAATTCTTGAAGGGAAAAAGAGACAGAGAGAGACTGGCCTGGCCTGGCCTGTGAATGTATTCCCAGCCCTGCTGTGTACCGGTTCTCTTTGCATAGGGAGAGGAGCAAGATCATGTGGCATTTTCCTCTCTCAAACATGACCACCTAAGTCTGTCCCTTGTTCTGAAGCAATTTCTAGAAAAGTAGGCTGTGGGCAGGGAAGGAAATGAAACCTGCCAAGTACAGATGACAGGGCAGGGCGTCCAGCCAGAGTGGAAGCAGTGGAGTCCTGTCCCCGAAGAGGAAGAAGTGCTGAAACGCCCATGAAATGTCTGTAGATTGTCCGTGAGTTGAATGTGTTACTGGGAAGTCAGGAGAGTCAGCTGGGGCCACCTCATCCCACGGAACAAGCCTCTGCAGTGGCCCTGTCAGGCGGTGTTCCTGAGTGTGCAGCCACGCTGTGTACTCACCCCACCAAAAGCACCCAGAAACTGGCAGTTATGAGTGTGTTTTGGAGTGGACGGGCCCAGTTATTTAGCTTTATGACTCTCCTGGGAAACTGGTAACAAGTCATTGTTTGAGGAGGCTGGGAAGCTCGCGAGCTCTGATACTAAGCCCAGAAATGAAGATCGTGGGGTCTTTGTGGGAAGGAGTTGTGTCTACGTTTTGTCTTTCATTAAGTGCTTCCCATGTGCAGCTTAGTTAAGCTTTAACTGGAGTTGGTCTTCAGGTATGTGGGCTGGTTGGATGGATGGGATTCAGAGAGTGGAGGGAAAGAGGGAAAGAGATAAAAGAGAAAGATCCTGGCAAGGAAAGTGAGAGGAAAGGAGGGCGGGGAGAAGGGAGAGGGAGAAAGCAGGAGAAAGGAGAAAGATGCAGATGGTAGAGGAAGGTGCACGCTTTTGTCCTCTTGTTCATTCTGCAGATGTCTTTTGAGCACCTGCCAGGTGCCAGCTGCAGGGCTAGGCATTGGGGATGTGGCAGCAGACAGGGGACAGAGTTCCTACTTCATGAAACCCCCCTTTTATTGGAAGAGGTAAACTTCCAAAGAATAGCAACGAGTCGTTCAAAATCGCAAATTGTGGAAAAGTGCTGTGAAAGAAACAAATGAGGGGTTAGAGAGAGGCTGTCAAAACAAAGGAGAGAATCGCTTCTTTAGATTGTGTGGTCAGAGACGTTTTTTTAAGGAATGAGTTGCCCTTTCCTGGAACAAGATACATTCTGGAAGAAGGAAGAAGAGGAGGCGGGGAAAGCTGAGTTCCAGAATGAGACATGAAAAAAAGCAAAAGGGAACAAACAAAACGCTATGAATAGGGCAAACAGTCTCCATTCTGTTGATACAGTATAGTAAGTAGCAAATCTATTTTACCTTGAAGTTAAAATGATCAGGCATAAGCTAGTCCATAATCTTAAAGCCCCCAAGAATATGAAGTGATCAGAAATGGAAGCAGCAATCAGTTCACACAGTACTTTGCAAGTAGTTAGGAGGCTCTGGAAATAAATGTAGACTCCTGAAGGGATCACTAAGGGATTTCAGTCTCATAAATAATCAGTTAATGAGCTTCTTTTTGTATGCAAAATGAAGAGAAAAATTGGAAAGACCCAGGGTTGGAAGAGAGGTTGGCTTGGAAAAAAAAATTTTTTTTTTAATAAATTGCAGCGGTTTGAAGCTTTGGAGATTTGGAATTTAAAAACCATTCACTGTATTATTTCTTCAGCAGTGGAAAAAAATAACTGGCACATTTCACCATGCTGTCATTTTTAAACATTAGATTTTGACGGCCGTCATCATCTTCCTTAAACTAGATCCATTTCGGAATAATTATTGTTCATGTACCACATAAACACCATTAACCCCCTCTACGTGTTCATCAGCTGATCTACAGAGGTTTTCCATCCTCAGCCCACTCCAGGATGCTGGGGTAGCCCCTCTCCTCCTCCTTCCCCTGTTAACCACATGGAGATTTCAAAATGTAACCCAGGCAAGTTGTATCTGCAGAAAAAGTCACCTCTGTTATTTTGACCTGTGCACTCTTGATTTCCCTTCCTTTTAGTAACAGCATCCAGTTTTCTCAGGGGAATTGCTCTTGCCCCATTTCATGCAATCTCAGAGTCCGGCCCACCCCTGACCCGCACTGAACCAGTCAGACCATCTCCTGGGAACCTGTGTCTGGGAGTCCAAGAGCAGGAAGGAGCCGCAGCTGGTTCGTCCTGGCGGCAGTGCCGGGAACCTGACATGAATTCATCCCCATACGCAACTCCCAGGCGCTGCCCTCGTTCCACCCACCAATTCAGCTTTCCCTCTGATTTTATGAACTACCTCCTCTCTTTCCAAAGGAAAAAAATTTTTTTTCTCACTAGCTAGAATCACAGTTAGTTACTTGCAACCTAATATATATTCAGATTTCTTGAATATTTTAGGTCAAAGCAGACTATTTATGTGACAGCTTTCCTACCATTATCTTACCCCTTTGAAGAAATCGAGTTTGCCCCAGAAAAATTAAATAACTGATCTTTTCTAAAACACACTTTAATTTCCAAACTCCTCACCTTGATCAGACCATTTTCTCCTCATCAAATGCTCATCCAGGCTTCTATTTCTGTCAATCAAATCCTGTCCTCACTATATAAGTCTAAGTTTAAATAAAGCTTAACTGAAGTGCCTTCCTTTCTGTGAACTCTGACGAAACATGCTCATTTTGATGACGCTAGACTATCTCCCTTACGAGAGTATAAATTTCCTGAGGGAAGAGCAGTGCCTTATCACTCAGTGACACCAGTGTCTGGCAGTGTGATGAACAAATATTTACTTCAACTGTATTCTCAATATAGTTTGTGTTTCTTCCTCTGGAAAATTCTGAAGGGAAGGTTAACATGTGAACTGAATTCTGTCCAGAACCCAGTTTCACATGTGACATTTAATAGCTGGGGTTCTTAGCAGGTTTTGAGGAGATCTACAAACCCCTAAACTTGTAAGCAAATATTCTTCATACATTTTCCCAAAGACAGAATCTAAAGCTTTCATTAGGTTCCCAGAGAGATCTGTGACTCATAAAAGGTTAAGAATGACTGGCCACCTGCATGTCTAGTGGCAATTTGGAGTAAAACATTTACCGCCAAAGTACTATGTGTCAGAAACTATGCTAGGCTCGTTCAATTTAAGTTATCTTGTTTAATCCTTCTAGCAGCCTAATGCAACAGTTCTCGTTGTAGCAATAACAATGAGAAGAGTAGTCATGACGGCTTAGATTTACTATGTGCCTTCTATGTGCCAAGCACTGTTCCAAGTTCTTCTACATGTATATGAACTCAGTTAATACTTCCCACAATCCTGCTGGACAAGTGATATTTACAATTCTTCCCCCTTTTACAGATGATGAAACTGAGGCCCAGAGAACAATTGTGTCATTTGCTTGCGTTCCTGCAGCTAGTGGCAGAGTTGTGTATTCAGACACAACAGGTTGACTCCTCGCCAGGTGTGCAGAGGAGAGCTGGCACTGACTGTGCACACGTGTCTTTATCTTGTCACCACCAGAGTGTCTCTACGTGTTCCCCTGCCAGTGGAACTACCGTCCTGATCACTGCATGTACGGAAGCAACTGCAAAGAGGCGGAGCGGGAAGGTGTGTCTGTCCTACACGGGAACCGTGGCGTCTACCATGACGAGAAGCAGCCGACGTTCAAAGCTCTCTATGAAGCCATCCGGGATGTAAGTGTATGCTCGCCACCATTCAGCCAGCAAAAGGCAGTGCCGGTGCTTTGGTCATGGGTCCTTTTCAAGGTCAAATAATTCCCCAGAAGCACTGAGTTACACCACTGTTCCCCAGCCTCAGTCACTCTCAGTCACTCCATCCACTTGCCACCTGATACTCTACTCTCTCCACTCTTTACTTCATAGTTCCAAGTAAGTCACTCATTTTTTTCCCCTTAAATAAATTCACAGAGGGAGGCAATTTCCTGTCAGAGAGAGAAACCCTGTGCCATTTGCCATAGCAAAGGGTCGTGGATTAAGGTATAGATAGTACAATGAAAATAAAATTATATTATTCAGCACAAACTAGGTGTGTTGCCTAGTTGACAGCTCCACCCTGTTAAACAAGCAGGTGTCGAGGTGGTCAGTTAGGACAGGGGCCAAACCAAAATAGCAATCATGTCTTTGTTTTATAGATATATAGTTGATTTTTAATATTTTGTTAGCTTTAAGTATACAGCAAAGTGATTCAGTTAGGTATAGGTATAGATGTTCTTTTTCAGATTCTTTTTCATTATGGGTTATTATAAGATATTGAGATATTGAATATAGTTCCCTGTGCTATACAGTAGATCCCTGTATATCTTATTTTATATATAATACTATTTTATATCTGTTAATCCCGAACTCCTAATTTATCCCTCTCCCCTCCTTTTCCCCTTTGGTAATCATAGTTTGTTTCTATGTCGATCAAGTCTTTATTTATATACTGTGACAGTGCAAGCAAGAGGCAAAAAGAGGCCCCAGCTCCCAGTGGTCTGTTGTTGTGCACCAAAGTGTGCTGGGCGAGGGTCAGGTACATACAGCACAGAGGCAGGAATACCTCCTGAACAAGAGGCTCCTGCATCTTTATGGACCCATGAACCGTGGAGAAGAGAGAGGGGAGGAGAGGAAAGGTACACCCCTCCACCCCACCCCCTGTACCTCGCAAAGGAGTCCTGTGAATGGAGGTGCCTGGGGCAGGGATGCAGATGTGCATATGAGCCAGGCTGGCCTGGGGCGGGGGCCTGAGTCCTTGACTGCAGCTGTCAGGAAAACTAAGCTCACTGCCCGTGCACCAAGTCCAAGGTTTGGGAAGGGCAGTTTCCATGACATCTGCCAGGCAGCCTTTTAATTGCCTCTAGCTGAGTGTGAAGATGACACTAGGATTTTGTGCTGGAGCTGAGGCTCCCTCTTACTACCCTGTAGAAACTGAGTTGCAATGTTAAGGAGGAGCTGAAGACGAAAGTGAACTGTCCTCTTGCAGTAAATGGGAAGGTCGAAAGGACCTTTCTTGGCGGTTCACCACCTAAAATCCTATTCAGGGCTGCCTGCTCTTGCTCCCGTCCCACACTTCAGGAAATGCTGCTTTCCACGTTGCCTTTTACCTTGACATTGCTGAGGGGAAGCCAGCAACAGCTGCTTTCAGAGATTTCCTTTTTGAAATGATATTTCCAAAACAGCAGAGGTCGGCCAACTTAAGCAAAGTCTGGCTTGCTGCCTGTTTTTGTAAGATGTGTGGGGTAAGGATGGTTTCTTAATAGTTGGGGGAAAAAATGAAAAGAAGAGTATTCTATGACATGAGGAGATTTTATGAAATTCAGATCTCACCATTCATAAGCACACTCTTATCGGGACCCGGGGACAGCCTTTCATGTATGTACTGTCTGTGGCCACTTTAATGCTACAGCAGCAGAGATGTGGCTGTGACAGACTGTATGTATGGCCCACAAAATCTAGAATATTTACTATCTAGCCCTTTACAGAAAAAGTTTGCCGAACCCTGACATAGAGCATGTAAATGTTATTAGAGAGTTTTTTCTTGAGGATCTGGGAACCTTCATGAATCATGAATGAGCTTTGACAGGAGTGAGGTGGGGGTGAATCCTGCAATATAGTAATACATTCTTGCACATATGAAAATATGCATTTTGCTAAGGAGAATCCCAGAGAATTCCAATTCTGGAATTCCCAGAATTGTCTACTGTGCAGGGAAAGAGATTTGCAAGCTTTTAAACTAACATCTCTTTCTTCCCCTGTGTTTCCCTGCTGTTGGTTCTCAAAGGCCAAGTGATTTAATTACAAAGAAAACCTGTTCTGTACTTAGTGATATCATCACATTTAGATATTCCAACACCGACTCTAGGGGTAAACCCACTCAGGAGTACAAATGGAAGTTCAGTAAGATTGCAGCAGACTGTGTACATCAGAGCCACGCTCGGATTCTTCTGTGATCTGCCCCCCTGGTCTGGGATTGAGCAACTGCAGTTCTTGAGTCACAGTTCATCCTGTTTGCTTTCTGGGTGGATCAGAAAGAAGGCCAAATAACTGTTTCATAAATGATCCTGCCCAATACACTCAATGATTTTCCTCAGTTGGGCCTAAAAAGACCATTTTTAATTTCCATTCAGGCATTTCTATCAGGACTATCACTAACCCCATCCTGAAAATGTGAGTAAATACAGTCAGACTCCATCATCAAAGGTGTATTTCCCACTCTCCACTGTGCACCCTAGCGTAGTGGGGTCAAGGCTTGGCTTTGGGCATCGACTGACCTGGGTTCGAGTCCCAATTTTGTCACTTTCTGGCAATTAGTCATTAACTCCGTGTTCTTGCCTTATCGGGCCTCAGTTTCCGCATCTGTGAAATGGACACAATATTATCTACCACATAGAAAGTATTGTGAGAATTCAGCAAAATGATGGTTTTTGAACTTGTAGTTCAGCACCTGACATAGAGTTGTGCTCAGTAATTAGTAGAAGTTGTTGTGATGATAACAGTGTCACACTTACCTCTTTCCCTACCTTGTGCACATTTTCTCTCCTGCTCTCTCTCTTCCTCTCTGTAAATAGTTTCTCTGTCTCACTGCATTTCTCTTTGTCCCTGTGTGTCTCTCTGAAAGTGTCTTCCCTCTCCCTCCCTCTTCCTTTTTCCCTCCCCTTCTCCATCTCTTCCCTCTCCTCCCCTCCTGTCTTCTCTCTCATGTGCTCGCACACTTCAGCCCTGTGTGTAGTTTGTGTGAAGGGGAAGTGTGATCCCCCTCATCCTGACCCAAGGCAAGTCACCTCCCAGGCAGACATTCTTTCTGTCATTCTTTCGGCAATCATCTATGAAGAGCCTATTTTATGCAGAAACAATTCGAGGTTCTGGGAACTCAGAAGTCAACAAAGCTGAAGCCCAGCCCTCGTGAAGTGTATATTCTGGGTGAAGGCAGCCTGACAGTACTCACAGAATCCGAGGGATGATCCAAGTCCTATTAGACAGTGAAAGGTTAGAGGGGACACAGAGCAGGGTGATGGGGCGAGAGTCCTGGGTGGAGAGGAGTGTTCCCGAGCTCAGGTCCTCAGGGAGGCTTCTGTGAGCCTGAGCCTTGATCCACTGAGGCAGCCCTGGGAAATCTGAGGGGGAGCAGGGGGATCCTGCTACGCAGAAGACAGAAGCCAGGAAAGGTCCCTGAGGCAGGAATAAGTTTGTGTGCCTGCAGAACAGAGAAGAGACCACGGTGACCGGAATGGCCAGAGAAAGGGAGAGAGGAGGAGATGAGGTGGAGAGTTCCAGGTCACATGAGCTTTTGGGGTGAGAGAGGCTTGCAATCTTATTCTGATTGCAGTGGGAAGCCCCTGCAGGGAAATGATGTGCTCTGATTTATGCTTTAAAAAGATCACCTTGGTAACTCAGGGAAAGGGGTGCAAGAGTGAAAACCCAAAGGCTGTTTATGAGACTTACTGCAGCCATCCAGGTGAGAGATGGGACCGGCATGCGCTTGTGTGGTATCAGGAGAATGCGAGGAAGTAGCTGTGTTGCGGATACGTCGTAGAGATGGAGTCTACAGCACTTGCTGATGGACTGGGTGAAGAATGTGGGGGAAAGAGGATTCCAGGATGGCTGCTCTGCTCGTGTCACTGGGGATACAACGGTGAAAAGGATTTTGTCAATGGTCTAAACTGTGCTGTGAAAGGAAAAATGTTCCCAACGTGGTCTCGGACAGAACCTTTTTACATTACCTAGCATATAATCTCCTTCTGGGAAGAAATTCACATTTCTGGTAAACATGCTTAAGCAATATTTCTGGTGAACTTTAAAGGGATTAGGACTTGTAGGAAAATAAACACGCACCCACTCCGCTGTCAGGCAATAGTACACTGACTTTTCATCATTCTTATTTTCCTTTTTTTTTCCCTCTAGTCTTTGTTTGAAATGTCTTTGCCTACAATGAATCCTTGACTTGAACCTACTGGAGGCCTTTCCCTTTTGACAAAATTGTGATAAAACTTTGACTCATGCTCATAACTAGGTGGTCTGAAAGATGTATTTTGGAAAATACAGACACATCCCATAGGAAAACAAGATTTTTTTTAAGCCCAATAGTAAGTGGGAAAAAACCAACAACCAATATTGGTACCTGAATTATTAAAATGAAGTTCACTGATGATACATTTTACTGGTAGTTGTTAAACTCTGGGCTTCATGGGATTACCATAGTTGCTTCGTTAAGACTGCTACAAAGGCAAAAAATAAGAATTCAGTGTTTTATTCTGGTAGATTTCAAGTGTCTGCTCAGCAAGAGCATACTATATGTAGAATATCCTATGCTCGGAGATATACCTCACTCTTAGATTTTAGGAGCTTTTAACCCAAATAAAAAAATTTTTTTTTAAGAAGGGAAGAAACTGGGGCCAAGAGAGGTAAGTGATTGCCTGGAATTGCACAGGATGGAATCAGGATTTGAACCTGGGTCCTCGGAAGTCATTTCCATGTATCTAGGAACGCACCAATCTGCCTGTGGGCTTCCAGTCATTGCCTGTGTCATTTCTCAGTAAAAGTGATTTGCATTTTAAATGGCCTTTCAGTAACTAAAGTGAACTTTTTCTTTCTTTCTTTCTTTCTTTAATCATCTTTCAGTTTCCCTTTGAAGACAATCTCTTTCAATCCATGTATTACCCTCTTCAGCTGAAGTTTTTAGAAACTGTGCACACTCTATGTGGACGAATCCCACAAGTTTTTCTGAAGCAAATTGAGAAAACAATGAAAAGGGCTTATGAGAAACATGTCATCATCCGTGTTGGCCCCAACCAGATGCACTGAGGGTATCACATTGTTGCCAATCAATTAGGCATCTCATGAACTAGGAGACATCCGTCTGCAAGCCGCCTGAGTCTCTTTTATGTGAATATTTAGTGGTGCTCTAAGACAATTGAGTTTAAAAAGCCTTGTTAAATGTTGCTAAGTTAATTGCCCCTCAAAGGAAATATGCTTTAATTTTTCCTAAAATGCTATTTGTCTCTCTGTTGCTGCTTTTTTTTTTTTTCAAGTGGTGTTATTGCTCATTGAACATTGTTGCAGCAGTGAGCTGGCTGTGGAAAGTGCTGTGAGCCTTCCAATTCCTAAGTGTCTGAGACAATGTCAGTGGCATCCAAAGTGACAGCTTTTATCCACTTTTTCTGAGACTCTTTCAATGCAGTTGTTTCCCCCATCCCTTGTTATCAAAGTAATATGTGCTTCTGGTAAATCAAACAAATTTTTAAAATGTGTAGAGAATATATAGGTAAGTGGACCAAAGTCAGGATGAGACTAGCCATAATCCTATCAACCAGGGGAAAAGATTTTGATTTTAGAGTAGTTCTTTCTAGTCTTTTCCCCTACTTCTGTATTTATTTGCTGGTTGTCTTTTCCATCGTAACACATATCTAAAACCGGTAGTCTAAATAAAAGTTGGCCCTTATGCTGAGATTTTTATGTAGGAGACTAAAAATTTAGGCAAAATGATTGTTTATGGTGCTCTGCTTAAAAATCCACCTGGGAGAAGCATTCAGATTTTAGCTAATTGGGCAGGTGGTAAAGGATGAAGCATAACCGGGGGTTTTTTGAAGAAAAATTATTTAGATTTTCCAAATCATAAGAAATGTCTACGCAGCCACAGCTTCCGGAAGGAAATTCAGTAATTGAGTTAAACCTAAGAGGTTTATTTAGCAAAGAGATGTGATTTTGTGTTTACCCACAGACAAAAGCAGTTTATCTCTTACGTTAGTAGATGTGGCCTTCTCTCTTTAAACTTGTGGGCAGTAGGTGGAAATTAAAGGCCAACTTGGAAGATAATGGGTACAAATAAATAGTTCAGCTGATTCCATTGGCAAAAAAATTCAACTTCCTACCAGCCTTAGAAAGGTCTCGCAAGTGTTCATTTTTCTTTTCTAGGGTTATCCGACTATTAGCCAAGGAACCGGGCAGGTCTTCTCACCTGCCTATAGTAGAGGAAGTTCTATATTCTTTCCCCAAAGGGATCTAACTTAATCCCTAGTTACTCAAGTAGCTGGTATTAGCATGAGGGAGTTTTGCATGATGCTTTATTTATCTCAAAATAACTTGTGCATAAATGATCTCTTTGATGTCTGCAACAGCCTAATGAACTTAGTGGGAGCCTGTGTCATCTCCACTGGGCAAATCACGCAATTGTAACACAAAGAAACAAACACATTCAATATAATTCCTGTTCTCTGAGACATACAGATGTGTATAAAATGCAACGGATTTTACAGAGAAATTTTTGGAAACAAATATATTAAATACTTTTCAACATATATAGACAGCCATCTGAAAATATAAAATGAAAAATTTTTAATTTGGTAATGCAAACATAGTATCCTACATACTGGAATCCAGTAGGATATTAGAGGTTCAGAAGAAAAACTCTTACCCTGAAAAAAAAACACATGAAAATCTCAGCATTACCAAAAAATATATGTATGTCAATCAACCTTAGTGTGCAGCATCGTTATGGCAATAACAAATTTAAATCTAAAATGGTTGAGTAATAACCCATACTTTCCCTTTGATAAGTCGGGTGGCCTGTGGTTTGTTATTTTTGTTTTAAGGGAAATTACCATGATGATGTGAAACTCTTATCTTTGCTGGTATAGTTTATGTTTCCTCATTTCACCACCCAAGGTGACCTTGTCTGATATTTTATATCTAAATATAAAGTGAGGACATTTCTGGACTGTCTCTTGGATGGGGAAAATGCGTCCTGTATACCCACAAATAGGGTTTTGGTGAAAGAGCCAAGCTGTGAAGACGACTCCCTGACTTCCATTCCAGTTTTCTTTCTGCTTGTTCAGCACAGCCAATAAATGCCACAAATGTCACTCAGGTTTGTTAGTGGCTCACAGATCTAAAGAAGTTCCTTTCATCCTTTGACAAGTCCCACACACACACAAAAAAATCTGCTTGTGAAGACTTGGACTACAGCAGTGTCTTTTCTTTTGTGACAGCCAGGTTTACCCACAACCCTCAATTATTGGTTCCAGGCTGAATATGCAAAAGAGGATTTCCATTAAAGATTAATGATAAAACTCTAGAACATTCTAGAACGATGCATTATAAGATTGTGAAAACTTAGAATTTGGTGTGATCTTCTGCCTTGGAGTTCCTCTGCTGTATCTTGAAATGTTAGTTTGGTGGAAAATTCAGAACAAAATTGATCTTCCAGTCCCCACTGCCTGAAAGTGCTGATTATTTTCTATGGTTAGGCTGTTACCATGAGGCAGTATTTTCTCTGCTTTTGATAATTTCCAGAAAACTATTGCATTAGCGCCTTTGAAATATGATAACCACAAATTGTAATCCAGTGGACTCCTAAAACATGCAGTCTGTGGTCTGAAATTTGCCAAAGGTTATGTTGCCCCATACGGCACGTTGAATGTGTATGGGACAAGCATGAGACTGTATGGGACAAGTGTGAGACTGGGTCGCTTCTGTCTTCCTGTCTGGTCCTGTCCTCTCTCCTTTTTCCTTTAAACTTCTGTTTAATGCATGGCTACGGAGTTCCATTGCAGAATGAAAGAACACTTTCTAAGAGCAAAATGTGATCATGTTTTTGTGTATGTGGATATTGAGACTTCCAATGGCAGGGGCAGTCACTAGGTATGCTGCCCATGTTTTTCTTGCTGTTTTTTTTTCCCCCAATATAAATCTCCAAAATTGTGACCTGCATTGGAAATTTCAGTCTTTGAAAATTTTAACTGGCTAGAAACTCTGTTTAAGTTTTCCTTCCACTTCCAAAACAACTATTTATTTGAAACGTCTTTTACTTAGTCAGTGCTTCCATTGCAAATTGTTGTGACTTTTACTGAATTTATTGTTGAAACGATATTTATACAGATTCGTAGAGGTTTGTATTTATTTCATTGCAATTATGGTGTTTATAAAACGAGCAAACCATATAAAACCTTTTTCACAGTCACAAAATAGTGATCCAGTAATGGAATAATCACTTCAACCCACCCTGAAGACAGCACAACATTCATACAAATTTAGGGTTGTATATAAATATTGCCTGATACTTACACAGAAAAAACATTGCCTAAGTTGGATAAGTCAAAATGAGCATGATTTCACGACTGAATTCAGAAATATGTTGCGTTCAGAAGTATGTTTAATGCCACATGAGTACAAATCATTATATTCTCATTTATTAGTATGGTAAGCAAGCTTTCTTATGTTTTTCTGTTTCTCTCCTACTTCTTCGTCTTCCTCTTGTTCATTTTTGCCTTTCCCTTCCCGTCTTTGATGTTAGCTTCTGAGTAGTAACAAGAGGCTTGGCATTAGTGGCAGAGCCACGGCACCTGGGTTCCCTGTGCAGGCAGAACTAAGTTCTAATCCTGAGATCAAATCTTTAGGATGAGAGTTTTCCAAAAGTTAAAAAAACATTCACACAGTACGTACATACACACGCACGCACGGGTGCGCACCTTTTAAACAAAGACCCAGCATTCCTTGTGCTCTGTGAATTGAAAAATCATAGATAGTGACGCCTTTGGTGAAATCACTTCACGATTGCAGTGCTAGTCTTTAAAGCTGATGAGATTTCTCCGGCAAACAGAGATTTTCACAGGTCAAAACTGGAAATACTCTCTTGAGTCTTCAAGATGAAGCACTTGTGTTTGTATCACCATATGCATGACCTTGTAAGAATCAGGTGCAATTTCTGCTTCATTGGTTTTACATGTTTGTGTTGTCACTAAAAAGTGTCCCCATTGTTGATAGCTCCCAAGGAGAACCTGAGTGCATTTTTTTATGTTGGAAAACTAATTTTTTAGTGATTTTTTTCTTTGGGATGAAATGAGCATAAGAAGGAACACTCCAAAGAAAAGGAATTATTATAGCAAATTAAAAAGAACATAAGTATTATGACTTACTACTATATTGTCTTTTTAAATGCCATTTCCTGTTTTACTTTTTTTTAATTAAAAGCCTTTTTACAAAGTTCTGTCTTTTGGTGTTATTTTGGAAGTGTGTTTCTTTTGTTTTATAAGATTTCAGGGTTAAGATTTTATCATCTTAAATAGTAATATTTAGGTCATTCCAACTATTAAAGAAATACTTGGTTTAGCGAGTAGCTTAGCCTATTTTTAAAAATCATTAAAAATCTTTGTTTATAAAAATACCACACTATAAACTATGTTATTTGGTCTTAAAGATGTTTGGTGTTTGAGATGCAAAGAAGAAAATTTAGAAAATGTGGAATTAGTTCTCGTGTTCCTACATTTTATTTCGCATAACTAAGCCTGACTTGTTAGCTAGTAACATATCAAAAATAGCATACCAAGAGTTTTGAGTTGATATAAAGTTGATTTGAGTTTTGAGTTGATTTTCCTCCAATCCCCTAAGACTCGTTTTAAAGCCAGCACAAGGTATTCAGTTCATCTATGGAGTTCCGTCTTTTATGTTTTAAACCATTTTAAAATGCTAAGATATTTGTGTATGGTTTTCTGGAATAACTGGGAACCCACATCAAATGATTATGTGAGATATAAGATTCAGGTACTATTGAAACAACATTGCATTTAAGTCCTAGTCCTGCTGGTTTCTGACTGTGTGTGATCCAGACAAGCTTTTTGATCGTCTTCCTGCTTCAGACTTTCCACTGACTAGAACAGGGCCAATAGTTCCTCACAGACTCTTGTGAGGAATAAAGACAAAAACATGAAATTTCAAAATTCTCAAAATTCCTTGTTTGTGGCCCCCTTACCTCCGCTAATAAACAAATGGCTAATGGCTTTTTTTTTTTTTTGCTAATGGTTTTTTAAAGCGTTATCAGATTGAAAAAGTGGCATTTTATTTATTACTCTGCCATTGTGTCAGATGTTTACTTACCACAGGGTCCACATGCTAAAGTCTGCCTTCTTTGTTTTTTTAGAGGGACAAAGGTGGAAGAGTTTGAGAGTCTCTCGTTTCAGTTTTACCGTTCTGAAAGCAATCCTGTTTCTGTCTGGTTCCTATATATCCTTTAGGTCTTCTGTTGCTCAGAAGTAGCCCTCCTGTCCTTCATCATGATCTCATAACGTTCCCCTTCCTTCTCCTCCTTCATTGTCCCATAAGTCAGTAAATGTCACCAACATCCTCCCCCTGTCTTATCCTAGAAGCCTGGTCATTACTGGTCTCCTCCCCCTCTCTGTTTTCACATCCCCTTCATCACTAAATCGTTACATCCCCACTGAGACACCCCACTCCTGGTACCAGTTTCTCTAAATCTTTTCAACTGCAAGTGACAGCACAAACAACTCAAACTCATACGAAAAATAGAGTATTGCTTTTCCCTCGAGAATGTTCACTGAGTCAACTTCCTCTGTTTATCTTCACTGTTGTCTCCACTCCACCCATTACTCTCTGGGTTCCTGTCCTGTCCTGCCTGGATTGTTCTAATGTCTTTCTAATTTCTCTGCACTCAGTACCCCCAGACCATAACCCACCCTCACGCTGTGCAAAGCTCCTCAGCGTTTCCTCTTTCCTCCTGGAATAGCATCCAAGCTCCTTTCCAAAGTTCTCAGAAGGTGCCTGTGTGATCTACCCCCTACCTAGCTCTCTGGCTTCTTTTGAGTTCTTCCTCCCTCACTAATGTCGCTTATGCTGGCTTGTTTTCTATTCCTTTAAGAAGCCAGGATTTTTCTCATCCAGGGGCTTTGCACATGCTTGGAATCATCTACCCTACAAATTCACCTGGCAAATTCTCCTGCCTTTCAGGTATCAATTCAATTCAGGTATCGATTCAAGTATGATTTCTTTGTGGAAGCCTCCTTGGATCCCCCATGCAAAAGCAGTTCTCTCTCTTACATTTCCTCACATAATCCTACACTTTTTCTTTGCAGTGTGTGTTGTAACAGCAATATTTATTTGGGTAAAACTGTTGGTTTTTTGACTGCCTTCCCACTTAGATACAAAGTTCTTCGAGGGTTTAGTCCTTGCTCATCTCGCTCCCTGCTCTCTGTGCACCTCACTCAATGATTAATATATTTCTGGTGCTCAAAAAATATCTACTGAGAGTAAATGAAGTGATTCTGCTGCACCATGAATTGGGTCCAGTTCCTATCAGTGAAGCTTCGTAACACACTTTTGAGTAATGTTCTCAAAAACTAC